AGCTCTACCCCTCCTCCCAGAGAATCCTCCCCAGGAGGCCCAGCCCCTCTCCAGATGCCTAGCTCCACCTCCCAGAGCCCTGCCCCACCCTCTGCTCACCACTGGATGTAGGAATGGTTGTCCTCCAGGAGGTCATAGTCGTCCCTCCAGTTCTGAAGAATATCTTCAATGAAACAGCCTAGGAGCCCCATGGGGATAAGTCAGTGTAGAGCTATTCAAAGCCCAGTCCCCACTAACCCCCTTTCTTGAAGACCTTGGGGCTCTGCAGCTTTGAGTTGTACATTTCATGTGATTGTAACCCCCCAACTTCGGACCTTGGCCCCTTTGCAACCTGGAAACGGGGACCCCCCATTGCTGACTGAGAACAGACCCCAGAGAGACAACTATACCCAAGGGAGGGGCAAGTGGTCTGGTCCCAGACCTACATCTGTCTTTGCAGGGGAGAGGTCCTCACTGTCCCCCAAGCCATGGCTTGTTAGCAGGGCTCTGCTCTAACAGAACCTGCAGCCAAGCCCCACCCATACCCTGGCTTCCTACTGGGCAGCCACTGTTTCTGCAAAGGGTCAGTGAATATCTGAGGCTGTGTGGCCACATGACCTCTGCAGCAATTATGCCATGTCCTAAGGAAAACAGTCACAGACCACAGGTTCCAATAAAACTTCACTCATGGACACTGAAATTTGAATTTCATATAACTTTTAAGTCACAAATATTATTCTACCTTAAATTTTCACAAGTATTTAAAAATGTAAAAACCACTTACTCATTAGTTGACATATGTGACTTTCCCACTACAGCAGAAGAGCTGAGTAGTTGTAGAGACCTTGGGGCCTGCAAAGCCACCCCTATTTACTGCCTGGCCCAAAACAGCAAGTTTGCCTGTGGGGTCTAAGCTGCAGGCTGGAGCCCGGGCGTCCCCTCAGTAGCCTCCAGGGGGCGCTGTGGGGCTACCTGAAAACCACAGGACACACATGCAGCAGTCCCAGCCCAGGTCCCTGAAGACCCAGAGGCAGAGAGGACAGGAGACACCCCAGCAGGTCGGGGCTGCAGGCGGCGACTAGGCACCCACCATTGGGCAGGAACCGGATCTCGTTTCTGTAGAAACTCAGGTTCGGCATGTCCCCGTTGCTGTCCCGTTCTATCAAATCCTAAGGAGTGAAGAGCCAGAGTGCAGGTGGGGCACATCATTAGACAAAGGCCGCCTCCCTGTGCCCCTCAGACTCGGGCGTTCCTGGGGGGATCTGCTCCCAGCTGGAAGACCTCCGGACATCCTGAATGCCGGCAAAGACCCCGTGTGCCCAACCCCGGCCCTCACTCCTCAGGGTCACCACCTGCCTCTCACCACTTCCTCCCTCACCAACATGGGCCAGTGCCCGGAGGTCCCCTTCACCTGCACCCAGAGGGAGCCCAAGGGTTGCCTGAGACCCATGGGTGCAGAGGGCAGGGGCTGAGGACACGAGGAAGCTACTGCAGTGGGTGAGTGGTGGGGGGCTTTGGGTGGATGTGCCGAGCTGGCACTGTGACCGCCCTGTAAAGGCAAAGAGGCTGAGGCTCCGGGCAGGGAAGGGAGGGACACACTGTCCCACCGGCCTTGTAGGGTGGAAGGCAGGAGGGTCTTATCCCAGGCGGGTAAGGGAGCGGGTGCGACAGGCAGCTACGTACCGGGTAGTGGTGCCGGTACCTGCGCGTGTCCCGCACGGCCCTCCAGTTTCGGGACCCTGTCGGCCTAGACTGGGAAGAGAAGAGAAAGGGTGAGACCCCATGGAAGACCCCCTCCCTCCTCGAGGCCCACCAGCAAGCAGGACCCACCCCTGTGAGCCCCATTCTGGCGAGGGGAGCAAGGACCTGTGCCAGGTGTCAACCAAACCAGAGGGGCCTTGAGTGCATGGTGTGAGGCCTGCCCCCTGCTCAGCTCTCAGGACCCCCAGGCCTATGTGAACATTCTTGGGGGGCAGCCATCCAAGCTCCAGCTTCACTTCCTCCTCTGTATCTCCCCAGGCAACCCCGCCTTCCCTAGCACTTCCTCCTTGCCCTGTGCTATAAGTTGTCACCAGGCTTGTGTCCCCAAGGACAGCGGCCTTGCCACTTATAGCCCGAGGAGGGGCCCCAAATGCCTGATGAAGGAACGAATGACCAAGGTCCAGGGAGCCAGTCCTATCTCTCCCAACCCTGCCGCTCAGTGACTAGAACCCTCATCTGGCCACCAGCCCCGCTGGAGGTGAGGGTGGGGGCTTCTCTGTAACAAGTCCTCACTGCCCTCCCAACCCTGGCAGCCCTGTCTCTACTGGCCAAACACCCTGGGGTCCCAGGAAGAATGGGAGGTTAACTGGTGAGTAGGATGCTAGGTAAATGCAGTCCGACCCACCTTGTTACAAGGGCAGGGGGCATAGGGTGGGGTTGAGCCCGGCTGTCTGAGGCGGGGCGAGGATGAGGGGCCAGGGCAGAAACAGGTCATCCTGGGGAGACACCTGGGTCCCAGGACCTGGGAGGAGCGAAGGCACGCTGGAAGGGGTCAGGAGGCCAGGCCTACCACTGCGTCCCCTGGCTCCACCCCATCCCCAATCCCTAAGACCCCTCAATGACCTTGGCTCAAGCCATGGCCTGGAGCTGCTCGTCTGCCCTAAACCAGAGCCAGCTGGTGAAGTTCTCTCCTATAGGCCAAGGCCAAGGAACAAAACTGAAACTCAGCAGGGGCAGGTCCCACTTCTCCATCAGTTTCTGTTTCTCCTGCCCCTGGGCTAGTGGGGCAACACTGCAGGGCAGCACTGCAAGGCAGCAGGAGCCCCATGGGAGTCCTCCGGGGAAGGGATCAGAGGATCACGGGCATCTCACAGGGTGGACAAGGCGCCAGGGCAGGCTTTCAGGAGCCTGGCCTATGGAACTGTGGGAGGACAGTGTCCTCTCACTTAATCTTGCCACACCTGCCAGTACCTGCTCGGGGACAGAAACTGATTCCCACCCTGTGACTCCAGGCCCGGGACCCTGACCACTGCCCGGCTGGCCTCCTCAAGAAACCTGTTCCTGCCCGAAACACTGGGTGTGCTGAGGCCACTGGTCTTGCAGGCTGGTCTAGGGACCTCTCGGGGTTCCTCTCACTGACCACTTCAAGGCATTGAGATAAACCTGAAAACCAGGGCTCTCATCTGCCATGGGGAGAATCCATCCCAGAAACCACACAGGAGGGTTCAAGATTCTCCAGACATGCAGTCAAAATACCTTCATCCAAAAGCAACTGGGACACAGGGTGACGGCTATCATTCCCGGCACCATCCCTCCATGACTCCCGGGACCCCAGCTGGAACAATGGCACCCATACCCCAGTGAGTGCTGTCAAGTAACCCCTAACAACAAGTAACCAGTGGCAAGAGAAGTAACTGGTGGCAACAAAAGTAACAGTGCTAGCAAATAACCAATGGTAACTAGAAGTAACCACTGGGCATGGCCAGTGGTCCTGGCTGCAGCCTCCAAGGCCACCTCCAAGAGGGTGGAAGGCCAGCCCCAGCCCAAGAGGGTGGGTGCTGCCCCCAGTGAGGAACAGCAGGGGTAGTCAGGCCGGGGGGCTGGCGGCCCCGGCATGGAGGGGAGTCTTGGGTGGTGGGGAACAGGGCAGGTGCTCCCTGAGAGGCAACCAGGAGGCTGAGCGGCGGGCGGCGGAGGAGGCGCCGGCGCAGAGGGGTGGGCCAGGAGACAGGGGTCAAGGATGTGTCAGGGGCATCCCTTTCAGGAAACGCAGATTTGGCCCTCGGGCATCGGTCTTAGGGTGGCCCTGGATCTATGCGGGGTCCCCTGGCTGGGCCCCTG